TTCCATCAAAATGCATGATTTAATCAGAGATTTAGCATTGGGGATCTTCTCTGCAATGCCAAAAGATAGTCGGTTTCTTTTGAGAGCAGAAGGTATTCAGTTTCTGTTGAGTGGTTATTCAAGATCAATCGAACCACTTCATGCAGGAAGTAGTTCATCATCAAGATCGCTGAACATCCTTGAAAGCAGTAGATTGTGTATACCAGAAGGTAATCAATTTCTGTTGAGAGCTGGAGCAGGTCTAACGGAACCACCTTCGATGGAAGAGTGGAAACAGGCCAAAATGATGTTTTTGAGTGATAATGAGTTATACACTCTACCCGAGAAACCAAATTGCCCCGAACTTTTGACATTGTTCTTACAAAGAAACCGTTTGTTGAGAGTGATACCTCCATCCTTTTTTGACTGCATGACTTCTCTCAAAGTGTTAAATCTATCTGAGACTAGAATAAGGTCCTTGCCAGAGACACTTTTTAAGCTAAAAAGCCTCCTAATGCTCATTATATGTGATTGTAAACGTCTGTTTATGCTTCCCTCTCAAGTTGGATCTCTTGTTTGTCTTGAGGTGCTTGATCTTAGAGGTACTAAAATTAAAGAATTACCTGATAAGATTGGTGAATTGGCATCCCTGAAACGTTTGGAAGTGTCCTTCTATGGATCTATTGATGACAGTGAATATGTTAAATTGCCATGTCATTTGATTTCGAGTGGCATTATATCGAAGTTGTGTAATTTGGACACTTTGAGCATTGTTTTATGTCCAGGGGATGAAAGGTGGCATGAGGATGTGGAATATGTCAAAACTGAAGTCAGCAAGTTAAAAAAGTTGAAGTTTCTGTGTTTTCATTTCCCAGAAGTTGAGCATGTCCAAGAATTCGTCACAGAAAGTGAACCATGGAAGAAGAAACTCTTAATGGAGTTCAAATTTGTGGTTGGCCGTGATGTCAAGAGCATTTCCTCTCAGGTCCCAAAGTATTTGGAATTTGATTATAATCAGCAGGGCCAATGCTTGAGATTTGTAAATGGTGAGATGAAACCTGATGGAGTTCTTCAAATATTAGCTCGTTGTACTGCTTTCTATTTAGATAATCATCTTGACATCAAGAGCCTTTCCAACTTTGGTGTTAGCAATATGAATGGGTTGAAGTTTTGTATAATAAGTGAATGCCCGGAGATTAAAACGGTTGTGCATGTGGATGAAGTGGAGGAAGATACTATTGCTGTATTTCCACTCCTGGAGACCTTGAGTATTCATCATTTGTGGAATTTAACAGGAATTTGGCAGGGGACTTTACCAGAAGGAAGCTTTGCCGAGTTAAGAATTTTGTCGATGCATGGATGTCCGAAGTTGGATTACATCTTTAGAAGCTCAATGATTCAATATTTTCGTAAATTAGAGGAATTGGTTATTGAAGATTGTCAGGCCATTGAACAAATCATAGTTGAGGATGAGATAACGGATTCTTGTTCTGTTACACTTCCCAGTTTGAAGAAGTTAACACTTCACTATCTGCCTGGATTGGTTAACATTTGGAAAAGTCCTTGGCCGCAATTAGGACATATCAGCTTCTACTGTTGCCCTAACTTGAAGAAGATTGGTATTGATTCCAGGTTCAAAGATGTGATAGTTAAGGCAGAGAAGAGTTGGTGGGATGCATTAGAGTGGGAAAATGATGAATTGCGGTTGTATCTTGAAAACTATTCCACCATAATTTTTCAAGATTATCTGTAAGTAAAATTTTTGGTATATTCGTTTTAATCAATTCATAGGTAAAGTGAGAGTTAATAGTTTTAACCATGTTGTACATATTGTATGTATAATTTTTTTTTTACCTTTTATCTTTACATTTTGAGTTAGAAATCATGAGAATGCATGCATTAACTCATGTTATCGGAAATTGAGGTTCGAATGTATGATTAGATGTTCTTGCATATGGTATTTTATGCATATATGAATTAACTCGTGTTATTGTACAATGTCAATGAGGTCCGAATTTTAAAAAGTGAACCGGAGTTAGATATGTAGCTAATCATTTGAAATTTGTACATGAAATGATGGTAATGGAATGGAAATGAACCGGGTTTACTTGGCATTTTTAACCCAAGTTTCATTTGATAAAGCCAAAAAAAATAAAAATAAAAGATGTACTATTTTTACCAGTTTCTTTACATGTAAGAAATGGGTAAGATAAAACTAATAAACTTATCAATTTGAGATGACGAAATATAGGTTTTAAACAGAGGAGAATAAATAAACAATATATTGATGGTTATCATCAATGCTTGTAAAAATTTTGGGTCTTTTGTTACTTTCGTATACCTGTGGATGCGTTGTTACGTCTATCAACTGTTTGAGAATAATGTAGTAACTGCCCAAATTTTAACATCTAATATCATGTGTGAAGGAAATTTATTCTAAGAATAATGGTACTGAACAAATCTTGCTTAAAAGAAAACTCATAAACTTGTTAGTATCTAGAAAATTGACATCCAGCAACAGCCAATGGTCAAAAACAGCAACTTACAAACAAAGATTCACTCAAGGTAAACAATACAACCACAACAGCTCTATAGCAGCACAAACTGCGCTGTGAGACACTTCCGATACACCAAGTGTCAGTGTATGTGACATATTCCAATGACGGCTTGCCACGTCAGAAGCAGACATCTTAGGAATATCTCAGTTTCCGTGTAGTGAACCCCTTACCATCCACAAATCCTCAATTTGAATGTACTGTAACAGGTTAAGTCGCAGAACCATCTCCTCTGAGAACAAAACTTTCAGACTGTGGCATCCTTTTAGCGTTAAATTTGTGAGCATCATAAGGCTCTGTGGTACCATTGAACCTTTCCAAATGTGCATCAATTTTGGGAGACCTTCTATGTGCAATTTATTCAAGCGTTTAAACGCAGCGCCTGTGGTAACGTTACCATCAATAATGCTTGTCATTTCAGGACAATCTTCAATCATACAAACTTCAAGCCCTTCCAGATTGTCAGCGCTAAAGACCGATAAGTTGGCAGCTCTATGACCAATTAGCTCACAAGAACATGCTTGCTTCAATATCTTTAAAATTGCATCAGGAAAAGCTTCACCTGAAGGCACATTGCCATATAAGGGCAGTTTATTAAATTTTGTTCATATAGTATTTAATGAAAAAATGAAGTAGAGCTTTTTAGGTGAAATGTAATGACATGATAAATTTCATTAAATAAAAAATTTAAAATAACCCACTCACCTGCAGAAAATCTCAAGTGCTTTTCAGCTGACCATTCAGAGACATCGAATTCAGTAGGAGAATTTCCTAGCTGAAGACCAACAATGATGTTGAATGATCTGAGTCTTTCGCCTTTCCACGCATTGTTTCCCTTCCACAATATGCTGGTACTAACAAAAGTCTCGAAGCAATTCATGGTAGGAAAGTAAAAACAAAGAGTAGTCAACTCTTTAAGAACAGCAATTTCAGCAACAATACTTTCTACATTTTGATCCCATCTTCCATCAGTTGGATCCACCACAATGCCCAGCTCTTCCAATGAATGAAGTCTTGCAATTACATTTGAAGAAATCATATCACTCAGGTTACCATTAACATGGTTTTGGCTCCAAATAATTTTTTTAAATGAAACTCTCAAACACTTGAGAGCATGGTTGTTAGTATCCTACGATACCCGATACATATCATACGATACGATTCGATACAGGTCGCCAATGATACGTATTAGAGAGTGTATCATAAACCATTCGATACGTTGATATGTATCCTACGATACGATACGTATCCGTTCGTATCCTTAAAAATATCGATATAAATCGATACGACTTTATTAATTTGGGCCAAATGTCCAAAAAAAAATTCGGGTCGAAACCGGGTCACCCAACCCGATTCACCAAAACCTGTCCAAATTTACCTATTTTGCATGGAGAAAGTGAAGAGGAATATGTATTGCCCATTTTACATGATAATAATAATATAAGTGGAGATGATATTGACATTGATCTTGGAATTTTCTGATTAATTTTGATTATGTAATACCGTAATTTAAAGTCAATAATACCACAAAATTCTTTAATTAATCTTGGGGATTATATTAATTTTTAGAAAATTTTGATTATTTTATTAATTTTTTTGAAAAAGACGTATCTTACGATACGATACGATACGCGATACACGATTTAAAAAATTAGGTTTTCGATACACGATACGATACACGATTTGATAACCATGCTTGAGAGCAGTCAAATTTCCTATTACCGGATGCAAATGAGAAATCCCGGTATGACGTATGTTAAGGATTTCAAGACTATGAAGATCTCCTACCTCATCACGGAGCTCTATTAATTGATCACAATTTTTTAGGAACATTGCTTTGAGGTTTTTCAAACTGGAGATTGATGATGGAAGAGTTTCGATCTTCGATTTATACAAGTCGAGAAGTTGAAGGGCAGACATATGCAGAAAGAATGATCTTGGAAATTTTGCCACGCAGCTGTTTTCTTGAAGTAGCAATGTTAAGATTCTTTCAGAATTGGGCTCATCTGGCAAAGTGGGGAGACACGAATCACCAATCATTGAGATCCTAGTTGCATCTTCCCATTTTATTTCTCTAACCATTTCTTTGTCTTGAATATAATTGTTCTCATTGTGCTTGGCAAATCTAAATGCCACTCGTTGATAAAACTCGAACATCTTATATCGTTCCTCCTTCATTTCCTTTTCCAACACAGAATTGTCAACAAAATAGCGCAATATAACATTCCCGCCGTCACGTGCCTCCCCAAGCTTTTCAAAGCGCTTCAAAAATTGTTCTGCTCTCCAACACGTGATTATATAATCCCGATGCAGTTCATGACCAGCAGGGAATATTGCCAAATATAAAAAGCAAGACTTCTCATCTGGTCGTAGTCTGTCAACTTCAAGTTTAAGAGACTTGTAAACTTCTTCCAAATCTTGTTTCGGTTCCCCAGTTGGTGATCTTAATTCATGCAATGTGTTCCGCTATATTGCTGGATCCGTCCCATTTGTTGCTGGAACCCTTGCTTTAGATGCCAAGTGGTTTCCAATCAACTTTATCAGGTATGGATTGCCGCTGCAGAACTTGATAATCAATTCTGCCTCTCTCTTGATGTGTGGATTATCCTTTAAATGCACACCCACCTTCTCCCAAAACATATTTTGAGCATCCATGTTTGACAATCTCTTTACTTCGATCTGTTCATCTGCCTGCTCACAAACATCTAAATACCTGGAAGCAAAGACTACTTTTCCTTTATGTTCATCATTAATGCCTATTTCTTCCAAATCAATCTTTGAAAACACTTCATCGAGTAACAATAAATAGCTCCTGTTCTTCAGTTGTTCATGAATAATGCTCTTTCTTTGTTCATCACTGAACTTTTTTGGTTTTATTTGCAACCGCTTTAGAAGTTCTTGTTGTATGTATCTTTCATTTCTTTTTCTGCCTACAGCTATCAAGAAAACAATCTCAAACATTTTAGACCCCTTCATTGTTTGGTGGAGACGATTCATTATTGTACTTTTCCCAACTCCAATTGGTCCCAAAACGCAAATTCTTTTTAAATTTTCAACTATTAGACAGTCTTGTAGCTCTTTTACGTTTTCTTCAAGGGATGGGAATTCACTAATTTTGTTGGTAGGATTCGTTATATGTGGAGCCGGCGCCTTCTGAACCATTAAACTTCTGATATTATTGCTTTCAGCCTTCAGATTCCTTACCTTCTCAGTCTTTTTTACAATACGGCCACCAAGTTTCACAAGACGAAAAAATGGACATAATCCACACAAGCAGCTGAAGGACTTTTTATACTTTTCCTCCAATCCTTTGACATCTTTTTTCATCTCTCCTACTTTTCTCAACCAGTGTTTGCACGCATTGGTCTGCTCTTTTTCTATCTCATTTATCTCCAGTTCTTTATTTACATCTTCCTCTTCATCACATAGCTCTTTATATTCCTCCAAAATTTTGTCATAGTTCTTGCTCATATCTTTCACATAACCATAATTGCGCCTTAGATAGTTGTATATCGCCTGTGCCTCGTTTAATTGCAAAGTCGATTATTGCTACGCATGTTTGCGTTGCTGCCAAAGGATCAGTAGGCATCATTTCTTGATTTCTTTACAGTTATGATTCCAATAGCAATAGATTTATATATCTTGATTTGTTGTCTTGTTCAAGATGCTGCTGCTATTTCTTTTTCTTAATTTTTTTTTTTTTTTTTTTAATTCAATTCAATTCCTGTTAATTATAAGCATTTTCAGTGACTCTGAAACAATACATATACGAGTATGGAAATAAAATGAAGCATTTTCTATTAATTATCCATCTTACATAAAACTAAATAAATAATTAACTAAAATGAGCAACCATTAAACAATCAGAACTCAGTTGTTTTGAGTTGGTCATACTCAGGTGCAAATCTAATATTCAATGCTTAAATCTGAAATTTTTTTTTTTCCTTTCCAGGAATTCTAAGCTCACTTGTCTTCATTGAGTTAATTTTTTTTATTTCAGCAACTCTAAGTTCACTTCTTCATCAAGTATAATACTTTCAATAAAACTAAATATGTTTAGTTTGGAAGAATGTAGAACTTTTTCATCTTTTTCTACTTCAATTTTGCCCAAAAGTGTCCCCAGTATGTTCTTAAGACCCTTCACGATCTCAACTATCCCCCAATTCTCTATTGTATATGACTCATCAAATTTAGGATGTCCAATCTCTGACATCTAAGAATCTGATTTAATTTTTATTTTATTTTTTGTCATTCTGTTGGATATTTACAAAACTTTGAACTCCAACAATCTACATAATGTCAAGGAAATCTATTTAAGAAAATAATACAATTATACATACTTTGTACATCATAAAATCAACCTTCAAGCAAGGTATAACCATACTACATACAGTACCAAAGAACAAAAGTTACAAAGACATCAAACAAGAAGCGGCATATATAATACATTCTTCTCAATCATACTCGGATATTTCTTTTCATCAACCCTCAGCTTGAGATAATAACAATGTTATCCCTAAGGTTTGGTTTAAGTAACACTTTAGCCCAATAGAATTTTTAGTAACGTTTTGATCATGATCAGTAAACATTTTAGTCCCTGTCATTAGCAAATTTTTGGTACTACTGACAGGATATAAAACACTACTAAAAATATTGTATTGGACTAAAATGTTACTTAAGCCAAACATCATCATCAACGAACTATTATTTTTCCATACAAAGATGGGGGCAGGGTGAATGATACGACCCTATTAGCATCCGCAAATCCTTGCCTGCAAAGAAAGAAAACTCAAAGAAGTTCTACAAATTAGTATTGTAAATTTTGGTGTTTGTCATATAAAAGCGCGCAGCAAAGAAATACGTACATCTAAAAGAACTGTGTTTTTGAGTTACCTCATATGGGTTGATGCAGATTTTGAAAACTAATTTTTGTAACATCCGCATCATTCGGCCAAACCAACTGGTTCCACATGTTTTCACTGCAATAGATCACACTCAATTTCTCGGCCCTTTGGAAAGTATATGGGAAATTTCTTAGTTCCATTCATATATCAATCTTCACTGTCTCCAAAGAATCCCATTTCAATTGTACGCCAATGCAACTGTTAGACAATAAGGGTAGATTAACGAGTTCAAACTTCTTCAGTTTAGGAAAGGCCCCGGAATCAACTGTACTTCCATCCTTGATAATTTCTTTAATGACTTGGCAGTCCTCAATTTGCATATACTCCAACTTCTTAAGTTGTACAACCACTTCGTGAGAGAATAACACTTCCAGCATATGACATCCTTTCAGTGTAAAAGTTGTGAGCATGTTGAGACTCTCCGACAATATTGAACCTTGCCAAATGTGCATCAATTTTGGAAGAGGATTGACATGTAACTCATTTAAGCATTGAAACGCAACCCCGCTTGTAAGGTCACCATTGATGATGCTTATCATTTCACGACAATCTTCAATTCTACAAGATTGAAGCCCTTCTAGATTATCAGCACTAAAGACTGATAAATTGGGAGCTTCATGAGCAATTAGCTCAAAAGAAAATGCTTGTTTCAATAGCTCTAAAATTGCACTAGGAAAGGCTTCACCTGAAGGCACATAGCCACATAAAGGCAGGTTTAAATTAAATTTGTTCACTAAGTATTTAATTAAAAAAAATTGTAAATTTAGAAACCTTAAGAGTAGTCTATGATATTCTCCCAATAAGAAATAGCCCTACTTAGATTATTTTCTTAAGCATGAATCTTAATTCTCAAAAATGCATACTCTAATTCTACCCAAAATTACACTATCTTATAATTATAATTCAAATTGAAAATATTTACCAATATTTGATATAAACATACATAAATACAAAATGCATATTATAAAGATACTTTATATATAAAATAGAAGTTTGTTATCAAAAAAATATATATATAAAATAGAAATCATATTTAGTAGTAACCATATAGTAAATTTGAAATGAGTAATGCTACAGTCACCGAAGTAGTACACCGAATTTATGCACCAAATAACGTAACAAAATCCTGACCGTTGATTAATTTTAATTTAATATTAATCGACGGTCAAAATTTTACCAAGTCATTCGGTGCATGAATTCGATGCACTACCTTCAGTGACTGTATCCTTTCTAATTGGAAATTGGTTCAATTCTACTGTGAAGAGAAAGCCATAAATGAAAGTGAAATTTTTAAAACTAGATGCTTAATTTGTTTTCAAGTGTTTGTAAAGTAAGATAGAAGATTTAATAGCGAAATAAACTATTTATTTTGTTTATCTATATGTATTTCTATTGTAGACCACATATTTTTTTTTCAAGAAATAAAATGGACTGCTTTTATTTTAATTTACTGAAAAAAAATTGAAATAACCCACACTCACCTGCAAAAAATCTCAAACGCTTTTCAGCTGACCATTCAGAGCCATCAAATTCCGTTATAGAATTTCTTTGTTGAGGACCAACAATGATGCTGAATGATCTGGGTTTTTCATCTCCCCCCGCATTGTTTCCTTTCCACACTGTACTGTTACTAATAAAAGTCTCGAAGCATCCCAGGGTGGGAAAGTAAAAACAAAGAGTAGTTAACTTTGTAAGAGCAGCAACCTCAGTAACAATAGTTTCTACATTTTGACCCCATCTTTCATCGGTTGGATCCACAACAATACCCAACTCTTCCAATGAATGAAGTCTTGCAATCACATTAGAAGAAATCATATCCCTCGACCCACCATGAACATGGTTTTTGTACCCAGCATCTTTTTTAAACGAAACTCTTAAACACTTAAGAGCAATCAAATTACCTATTTCCATAGGCAAATTATAAATTCCCGTATGACGTATGTCAAGGATTTCAAGACAACTTAGATTTCCTACCTCAGCACAAACCTCTATTAATCTATCACAATTCTTTAGGAACATCGCTTTGAGATTTGTCAAACTGGAGATTGATGATGGAAGAGTTTCAATCTTCGTTTTATACAAGTCAAGAAGTTGAAGGGCAGACATATGCGCAAAGAATGATACTGGAAATTTTGCCAAGCTATCAATTTCTTGAAGTAACAATGTTAAGATTCTTTTAGAATTGGGCTGATCTGGCAAAGGGGAAGGACACGAATTGCCAATCATTAAGATCCTAGTCGCATCTTCCCATTTTATTTCTCTACCCACTTCGCTGTCTATAATATAATTATTCTGGTTGTGTTGGGCAAATCTAACTGCCAATCGTTTATAAAACTCAAACATCTTATATCGTCCGACCTTCGCTCCCTTTTCCAGCAAAGATTTGTTTACAAAATTTACCAACATATCATGCCCCTCATCACGTGCATCCCCAAGCTTTACGAATTCTTTTAAAAACTGTTCTGCTCTCCAACACTCAATTATATAATCCGTATGAATTTCATAGCCAGCAGGAAAATTTGCCAAATACAGAAAGCAAGGCTTCTCGCCTTCTGATAGCTCTTCCATTTCAAGTTGAAGGACATTGTAAACTTCTCCCAATTCTTGCCTGAACCCCAATTGGTGAATTTAATTTTTTTTTTGTGGTCCGCCAAATTTTTGCAATGTCTGCATTTGTTGGTTGATCCCTCATTTTATTTGCCAAGTAATTTCCTATCAACTTTATCAGGTATGGCATCCCACTGCAGAACTTAATAATCAATTCTGCATCTCCCTTGATGTGTGGATTACCCTTCAAATGCACACCTACTTTTTCCCAAAACATATTTTGAGCATCTGGGTCTGACAATCTCTGTACTTCTATCTCTTCATCCGCCCTCTGACAAACATCTCTATACCTGGATGCAAACACCACCTTTCCTTTATGTTCATCACTGATGCCTATGTTTTCCAAATCAATCTTTGAAAAAACTTCATCAAGTAACAATAAATAGCTGTACTTATTCAACTGTTCATAAATATTGTTTTTTTTATTGCCATCACTGAAATCTTCTGGCTTTATATTCAACAACTTCAGAAGTTCTTGTTGTACGTATTCTTCATCTCTTCTTCTGTTGTATTCTTCATCTCTTCTTCTGCCGTATTCTTCATCTCTTCTTCTGCCGTATTCTTCATCTCTTCTTCTGCCGACAGGTATCCAAAAAACAATACCAAACTCCTTAGAGTTTCCCATTTCTTGGTGCAGACGATTCATTAACGTACTTTTCCCAACTCCAATTGGTCCCCAGATACCAATTGTTTTGGTATTTTCATTTCTCAGATACTTTAGCAGCTTTTTTACGTTCTCATCTTGAGTTGGGAATTCACAAATTTTGTTGGTAGGGTTCCTTATATGTGGAGCTGGCTCCTTCTTAATCGTTAAACAATACACTTTCCCCCTTTCGTTCGTCAAAGAAACTACTTCATTTGTCTTTTTTACAATTTGTCTACCAAGTTTCATGAGATAACATAATCCACCAAACCATCTGGGGGCCTTACGATACACTTTCTCCAGTGCTTCCACATCAC